CGAAATTGTGATGGCCCTATAAATGGTTACCTAATCGTTTGATGCGTAAACGTTAGACACAAAAGATGAATGCAGATTCAGTCAGTTCGAAGCACCAAAGCGTGACAGTAAATCGACAAGACGCACTTCGCCATTGCAATAATGTAATAAAACACAGGGCAGAATAGACAAATTAAAGAGAAAACGAAAGCCAAAAATTAATTGAGAATGACCAAAGACTGGAACGCCGTCGATCTAGCAACCATATTGTGCAGGAAAGAGGATCTAGTTAATGTGACCGAAGAAGTGATCTGCGGGAAAAACAAGCATCAGCCCAATGAAGTAAATTAGTCATTTCCTTCAAGTTCTCATAGATCGATTCAAGTTTTCTACCATATTATGAAACGCAAACAAAACACTCAAAGAGCTCAGTCAAGAAGCACGCTGATAATATGACAGAGGTAGTGAACAGTTCTGTGTAACAACAGAACTGACTCAAGCGTTAACACGGGAGAACTAAGACCACTCATTCGGTATTCTAACCAAAGATAGAGAAGCCTAAAAAAATGAACGAAAACGAGTTATCTACAATAAACGGCCCATGGTCAATATAGCGGCAAAGGCGTAAAGCATTGTACACCATACTTTTGAACTATACGCCGATGTCGCGCATTTCCCATGTGAATGAGGGAAAGCTACAAAACGCTCGGAGTGTTGGGCCGAACACTTTGCAAGGCAGTTTAATCAATCTGAGTTATCGCTTTCTCTTTCGAACAATGAGTGCTCTTCTCCATGGGCCGCCTCCTTAGATCCGCCGTCACGCGCAGAAGTCGAACGTGAACTCAGTCTACTGAAATTGCATAAGGCCAATGGTGCAGATAGAATTCCCCCAGCTCTCTACAACTTCGAAGGACCTGCACTTGTGGATGATTTACATAAGTTGCTAATGAAACTGTTAGAGCAAAAAACTGTCCCGACAGACTGAAGCCGCTCCGTCATAGTCCCAATTTTCAAGGGAGGTTCGCGTTCGGAATGCGGCAACCATAGGGGGATCAGTCTGATTTCAATTGCCCCTAAATGGCTTGTCTGTCTATCTCCAGACTAACTGGCGCTCGTGAAGGTCAGATCCACAAACAGCAAGCCGGGTTTCGTTGAAATGGAGGCTGAATCGACCACATCTTCACTTTGCGTCAATCATTGGAGCACTGCTACGTTTATTGGCGACCCACCGTTATCGTGTTTCTTGACATCAAAGGTGCATTTGATTCAGTGGATGGATATGCCCTTTGGGACTGTCTGCTGAGGAAAGGTGTGCCTGATAAATAGGTAAAATTTATCAAAGCGCTGTACGCGCACTGTTCGGAAAGGGTGAGGGTTTATGGCAAACTGTCATCGCTCTTCAATAACACCAGCGGTGTGAGACAAAGTTGCCCGCTGTCACCTTTCCTCTTTAACTGATGTAGTCATGGAAACAGCATTTGCTGGACACGACCTAGATGTGGAGCTACTTCCTGGTGAGCAACTTCTTGACTTGGAGTATGCGGACGACATTGCCCTCATTTGTGACAGCGTCCAAACGTGCCAGGCTACACTGAACCGATTAGCACTGGCTGTCTATAGTTTTGGGCTAGGCTTTGCTCCATCAAAATGCAAAACCCTTCTCCAAGATTGGCAGGGACCCACCTCTGCGCTGACCCTTGGTGGTGATCAGTTAAAAGTCGTCCAGAAATTCAAATACCTCGGCAGCTATATTAGCGCCCGTGGGATTGAAGCTGTGATTACGAACCGTATAACAAAAGCTCAAGGTGTTTTTGCCAATTTCCGCCATCTGTAACGCAGACGCGAGTCCACTCTCGCCCTGAAGGGCAGAGTTTACAATGCAGCCGTCCGTTCAGCCCTCTTATATGATAATGAAACCTGGCCCATCAAGTCGACAGACATAAAGAGGCTCGTCACGTTCGATCACCGCTACCTTCGCAGTTTACCTCGTGTCTGGTGGGAGCACCGCATGAGCAATGAGCGTGTTCGGCGTCGCGTATTTGGTGCAGGAAGAGTGAGTGCACTGCTCACGCACCAGGCTTCGATGGCTAGGCCACGTGTTGCGCATGCCAGCACAGCGACTCACGCGATGTGCATTTTTGTGCACCGGGGGTATGGTTGGGAGAGGGTATGCCAAGCGATAACTTGGTCGAGAGAAATGAAAACCCTCACTTCGAAGTTGGCGTCGGTTTGTGAATCCAGATGGTCTGGCTGGGGTCCTAAGGGCGATGAACACGTTTGGTTGGACACACGCTGATATGGCGTTTGTGTTGTGAGTTCCTTTGTCCATCCTGATTAGCCTCCTCCAATCACGATCTCGTTCGTTAGGCATAATATAAATCTTTTTGCGGCACGAGAGCCGGCTGTTAGCTCTCCGGAACGATGCCCATCCGTTACTGGGGACTCAGCCGGCGTGCCTCTGCTTTTTTTTATTCTTGTCATTTGTAATGCGGCACAATAGCTGATGATGAGAAAAATGAGAACACATGGGGTGGCACAAGGCTAAATGGAGCGTTAGAAGTGTTTTAGTAACATCGCACCCTAGTGTCAGGCAAATACTCTGATATTTCACCAGGCTTCTTCGCGTGCTTGTCAGCCAAGTGCCTCGGCACACACATTTGTCAGTATGGTATTAAGCATGATAAAACTCCGAAGAAACTACCTGATAAGTGTTAACAAGTTTGGAAACCGGTCAAACTACGAAGCCAGATACGGCGTGTCGTTCAATTGGATGGGGTCCCCATCATGGGTCTGTAGTGCACATGAAGCATTTACGCCATCCATAGTTTGAGACATTGGATTCTGTTCTTGCTTGTATCTTCCGATCGTCCATTTGTTTTACTGATGGTACGATTTCGATCCCTTTCTCTCCCCGTGAGTAAAGCTGTACACTAGCCATTGCTCTTGCTTAAATGCTCCAATTTGTAGCTTTGTCAATACACGCTGGGTCCAGTCGATCTGATTGTTCGCCGTATGCTCATAGTTTCACTGCTTATGAACAGTAGCTGAGTAGCGCCCCACAAGTTAATGCAAGTAACAGACACGCGGTTTGATTGTACATAAGCGAACTCAGTGACGCTGGTGTCCACTCTCCTCAACTATCAATGATAAGTCCCATCTGAAGTGATCGGGAATTTGTTTACCTACTGCTTCCATCATCATTAGTAGGGGAACACCGTCCAACCGACACGGTCCCACATTCCCGCTGTTGTGTAAGCTGGGGTCATACGGAAGCTCCGGGCAAGCGCTACAGTGGATGATGGCATTTCTAGAGAGAGGTGGGATGTACGTTTGGTTGGGCTAGGTCGTTTCTCCCGACAGTTGGTTTTAAGTGGTGTCCCGCAGGGGTCCGCCTTGGTCCACTGCTGTTCACCCTGTACATTAATGACTTGCCTGAGAAACTGGGGGTGTCGTCGCTCATGTTTGCAGATGATCTTAAATTTTGGGGCACTATCAGTGACCCGGGTGACTCGTATTTTGCAGTGATAAACTCTGGGATTGGTCCACTTGTGGCAATTATCCATAAACCTTTCAAAGTGCTGTTTTGCGCTTTGTGGACAGTGGCCCATCAACGCTCTACTTTTAGGGGACAACGAAGTATCATGCGTATCCCAGCAAAGCGACCTAGGCGTCACCTTGACATCAAATCTCAAGTCCAGCGCAAACCCGAAAAAGGCCACTTTCAAGAGATTCAGAATGCTGTGGATGATATGCAGATCATTGAGAATCCTAACGGGAGAGATGTTTGCCAAATTTTACACGGCTTTCATCAGGCTTCACTTGGAGTACTGCGCCCAAGTCTACTTCTCTTGCTTGGTGCAGTACAACATGGCAGCTGAGCGGGTTTTGAGGATTAACGCCAAGATGGTGCGTGGGCTACCATGTGTGCCTTTTCCTGAGAGACTGCTCAGTCTGGGTCCTTTTCCTGCCGCACTATCGGCGTCACTGGGGCGATCTAATCCTTACATATCGCATCTTATCGGATCAGATTGGTCCGGACTTATCATACTTCTACTTCCGGCTCAACTGCCAACTCTTCGTATGCATCCAAGGAAGCTTCACAAGCCCTGATCCGATCAGGTGAGGATGTCCGGTTATTGTGTAGGGTACTTGATTCTCGAAGTGCCCTGCCTGAGGATGCAGGGTTGGCACCGACGGTTAAGACGTTTGAACACCGGCTTGACGCCGTCGGTTTGCAGCTACAACTTATCCTTGACATCTTAGCCCGAATTACAATTTCCATGTTTGTTTTTTATTTGATTTAGAGCGCTCATTTTGCGTTCTGTTTTTCAGTTTTCATTAATTACCTGCCGTTTTGTTTTATTTCCATTTCACACACCGGGGACTGCTGGTGCAGGACAGGTGGGCATTGATTGGTTGACCGCAATGTGACGCGCGTGAAGATTGTACCCTCTCAAAAGACCAATGGAATCGCTGAAATCTACCTGGGATCAACGACGTTTCCACAATGGAACATAAACGGGATTCTCCTATTGTTCTTGTCCCAGTTTAACTTGAATGCATTGAATGCATTGTTGTTTCTCTTGACCTCATTACGTCTTTGGTGTCGTCATAGCAACCATCTCCAGTGCGTTTTCGTCATCCATCCAGTCACCTAGGGTTCTGCCCTCCGTCGACAGCCGTAGCAACACCGTCCAACTCACCATGAATTGTAACAGGCGCATAATCTACCCAGCTCCGACTCTTACTAGGTGGCTGGGATGTAACTGTCCAGTCGCCTGCGAAGTAGCTAATTTGCCTTTCAGCCCCTTGGGTCTATAAAGGCCCAAATATGCCCTGGACATTGAAACCTTCCAACCATCAACCGAACGCATATTATCCTAACAATTAAGTTGTACAGTATCCTTAGAGATACGTTTTTACGTCGCAAAACACATATTTAGGGCGCGTGGGAGACAATATTTTAGCACAATTATAAAAGTATAATTACGAAATCCCAAACATGCAGAGCAGTAGCTTACCGTCGCCGATGAATGGTGCCAATGAGAACAAAGAACGGATAGTTTCGGCGTATTCCATCAAGCTATTGACCTGTACAACTGCTTCCAACAAAAACGTGTTGAAAGCTAGACATGGCTAGGCGGTCATCGATGATCTGTAGCATCATGATACATTTTAGTGCACCAACAGTGGAAACCGGCCCAGAGTATGCACAAGCAAGGTGAAGGAAGCCCCGACAAATAAATCACATACGATAAACGAAACTGTCAGGAGGGTCATTCGGCCTTGAGAACACAAGCCATATAAACACATCAACCAACATATTATTGAAATGCCTGTTAACCAGAAAACGTAACGCCCGCAGACTCAACATATCTTTTGTTCGAACTCTAAGATATGCAATGCGCGATGTTCGGTTCAAGGTCATGTAGTACAGTCAAAATTAACTGTTGTTAACATTGATCGGTATTACCAATGTCTCCTTTGCTTGTTTTACAGAGTATAGCGGACCAACTGCACAGTAAGTGAAGGGAACCAAAAGCCAAGGCACATCACCTGTTCCCTGTAAACTCCTTTTGTACATGCTTGCCGTATACCACGCTCTCCGCTTTCTGCGCTGTTGAATACATCTGGTTCGGTCCCGCTCGCTCGTTCTCGTATTCGACGCATTGGAGCATCGTAGTTTTGCATGCTTATCGTTTCGTACGAGTTACTCCGTTAGTTACGCGGGCGCTGCTTCTCACTTGTCGTTCGTTTCTAGCCGGGACTTCTCGTCCTTGCCCTGAAACTGCCAACAGTATCATGTTACCTGCAGCTCAGGTATAAGGCACGATAGAAACTTTCGCCTCATGATAGTCCAGGATTTTGCCGGTAAGTGAAAAGCAGCCCTTGGCACTTCGACGTTGGATTGCCCGAGCTTACTACTGCAACGGATGAAGCAAGAAGGGCATTGAACTTGCATGCATCTGAAACAGAATCCCTCAGATGTTCCAGGAAAATTACCAAACTGCTTGAAAAAGTTATACTAACAAACACCTATGCTCCCTGTGCATTCCTGTTCAGTCTCATGTGCGACTAAATCAGAAGAAGCTTATTCTGTTCGTGAAGAATGTCGCCCTGCTATCCAAACGAGCCTTATATAATTTGAGGTGGCAGTGAAGCTGAAAACGCACTTTCAGTAATTCGCAACATTGCCCTTTACCGGAGTTTTAGCCTTCAATATCCTCACTTCTGTTAATGACCGCACGTCCGTTTTCACAAATTGTTTAGTGGGTACCGTGCTGCACCATTTCTCGCTCTCGTTGATTCATTTCCTACTTTTGTAGCCTGCACAACAAACGCTGGGTCCAGGTGCCTCAACTTCTAGACTGTCTTGTATTTGACTCGGCTCCTAGGTGCCTATGAGTACTGATTAGTATCGCAAGCGCCATCCAAGAAATTTTCATCACCGTCCAAATCACACCGTCCGCCATTTTGATGTTATGTTTTGGTGAGCTCGTTCCAGTGATTTTAGGATGGGTTACAAATAGTCCCTTTGTTTTCTCACCTTCCACATTGTCTTTAGTCGCTCTTTCTAATAAATAATCCAGAGGATAAACCATCTCCCTACGTGGTTAGAGCATATCCAAAACCGGATGCCACCAACCATCACAGTGTCACCTGCCTATATGTACCAAATCCAGTTATCCCGTTGTTAACATATTACTCTCACAGCCATCTCCGTTCTTTCCCACCTATTTCCCGGAGCACGCTAAAGTTGCTGCCTAATACTTACGCAAAAACGAGACCACAAAGGAGCATGTGAGTAGGCATAATACGCTTTCCCAATCACTTTAGGTGTATCGCTCTTCATATACTCCCGTAAGAATGCTTCTCTTTATTTTCTGATTAACAGGAGACACTAGTTACTTATCCAATAACATAGATTCACTTTAGACATACGGACCGTGTGATTACTGTAACAAAAAATTGTGTTGTTTCGGGACGTTCCGTGGTACAAATGGTACATAGCAACGTGGTTACCTAGCGACGTTGCCAAGGAGGATGAATGTGCAATAGGTGGAAATAGCTGAGTGGTGTGTGGAGAAATGGATTGTGTGTTAATTATGATGCCATCGGAAGTGTTACCGATAAGGGTACGTATGTGTGATAGTTGTTATAATATTTCGGTGGCCATAGTGGTTTTTCTGCTATCGCTATGGCTGTGGATGATGGTGAGCTGTTCAGATCTTTGGTTATTAGGAAGCATGGAAGTGTTGAAGACATGGATGAGGTAATCGGACGTGTTCAGATTAAATCGTTGACATGTTTTTCCAGCGTGGAAGGCGCAAACACTTGCTGGATGGGGACGCCAACGGCTACATGCTGTACGGTTGCGTACATTTTTGACGTTCAGGATAGCGTGGCAAACAGTAAGTTAATATTAATGTAACACGGCGGCTAGCGCATGTAAATACGAATGAATCTGCAAACCGTTGATCACTGCGATATATTTCTGCCGGAGACAACACAGTGCTACGCGGTAACTAATCGTTTTGGCGTGCCATACTGATGGAGATTTTTAGTTGCAATTACGTGGAAAACAGTGGTTGAATAAAGACTTGAAACGAAATTTGACTATTGTCAAATTTACTGTGATCCAAGATATGTTGGATCGATTAAAGCGGTTCTGGTCAAAGCGTCTTCTGCGCCTACTGGTAATTTTTCCAGTTTTTCCCAGTTTTAACCCAGTTTTTGCCTTTTTTGACGTCGTTTAACTATTGCATACGTGTTATCATCACTCTGTTTTTCGCCATGTCAGCCTCGCAATGCACCGAGGCTGTTGTTCCTGATGGCTCGGATTATGAGGTTATCGCACTTTGTAGCGGCCGAAGCTGCAATATACCAGTAACTGACGAATCTGGAGGCATGCAATGCAATGTCTGCAACCGATGGTACCATCAGTTTTGTACGGAGCTGAATACCGAGCAGTACGCAGCGCTGGCCTCTAGCGGGGAGTTGCTTTTCATTTGTGCCAATTGCTGCAGCCGCCGGCAAGGCCGCACAGTATTTCCTAGGAGAGACGAATCTCTTGATACCCGGCTGCGAAATGTAGAGCGTTCGTTCTGTTATCAAGAAGAAAAAGCAGACAACATCCGCTATAAAGCCTTCCGGTGAAGTCGATGGCCCTAACAAAAGTAAGACATCGACAATGGAGCTAAAAACATACGCTGCTGTTGCTACATCATCGGAGGGCAAAAGACAGTTCTATCACCTGTGGTGAAGGCACCTGCTCCGAGAACTGAGAACTGGTGCGAAGCACCGAGTAGAGGTTGCTCTGCGTAGCTGCATCATTCGTCGTTTTTGGACATGAACTCTTTATTAATCGTTTCGCTCTCTGTACTTTGCCTCTGCAAATTGTAGGTCTAGTAGCATCTTGAATTGAGACACTGTGTTGGCTTCTACTATATGCTGAGGCAGGTCGTTCCAGACATTCACCACTCTGCGTTCAATACGGAGTTGATGGGCGACCCGCTTCAAATCCGGACGATAAGTTTATACCGGTGTCCTCGCGTGCAGCTTGGTGTGCGCAGATGAAGTGGTTGTCTCAACATGGGGTAATACCCAGGTGTAATATCCGGTGCGTCATGATGAGGTCTACTCTCAGCCGACGATAGGATAGGGTGTATAACCCTAGTTTCTTACATCGGTCTTGCTATGGCATACCTCGTAAGTTGGGAATCAGCCTGGTGGCCACATGCTGCACCCACTCAAGCTTTTCTACTTCGCCCCGGGTGATGGGACAGTATGCGGGAGTGCCGTACTCCAGCATTGGTCGTATTATCGAGACGAAGAGGCGAGTAGCAATCTCTTCGGACCAAGTGCTAAAGCTGCGCCTGAGAGCCCATAGCATCCGAAGGCTGCTTCGGTACAGCCTATTCGTGTTGTCAACGGACTTTAGGTCACAGCGTGAGAGTACACCGAGGTGGCGCACGAAAGGAGCGGGATGCAACGGTTGACCAGTCACTGTGTACGTTCGGCGGTGATCATACTTACCCAAACTCATGAATTGCGACTTGGCAGGGTTGGTCGGAAGGTTAACCTCTGCAGACCATGTCGAAAGGCGGTCGAGATCCTGCTGATGTAAATCGCAATCACTGAGTGTGCGGATTACTCTGCACACTTTCAAGTCATCTGCGGACAAAGCACTATGTGATCGTAATAGCTGAGGCACATCGTTTATATGGATTAGATACAAGATCGGTTCCGGGTACAGTGCCTTGGGGCACGCCGCTGCTCGATGGATACCAGTCAGTTAGATGGTTGTCCACCTGGACTCTCCACTTCCGATCCATAACGAAATTGCTGATCCATTTGTGCAGCGAACCACCAACACCGTACATCCTCAGTCTGTCAAGGAGCACTGCATGGTTAACCTTGTCATAAGCCTTTCTGAAGTCAACGTAAATGACGTCAATGGATTGGCCGTTGTTCAGCGCTTGTAACCATTTCGTGCCTCGTCAACGGTACGTTGGTGACGCACGGACGACCTTTCAGGAAACCCTGCTACGCGGAGGTTAACAGGTTTTTTGACTGGAGAAGTTGCAGAACGCTCATCTTCACGATCTTCTCGAGCGTCTTTGCAAAAACTGCCGTAAGGCAGATCGGCCGGTAGTTATCCACTTCGCTAGGTTTACCACCTTTCGGGATAGGCTTTACCACTGAGCATTTCCAGCCGCCTGGTAGTAGACCAGTGGATAGTGACCTGTTAAACAGTTCAGTTACAGAAGGTGCACTTATGGTCGATAATGACTTGAGGGTTAGTGGGTGTATACCATCTGGCCCAGCAGGTTTCGTCCCGTCAAGCTTCGCTAGAATCTTGCGTACATCCTCAATATTGCAGTCCAGGCTGTTAAGTTCGGCTGGAGCGGTGCTCGTCGAACTCATTACAGACACCTGGTCACTTGCGAATACGGAGGCGAAGTGCGTTGCCAATGCTGACGCACGATCTGTACTCGATGTTAGGGGATGTCCTTCTGAGCCTTCTAACACTGGGATATTGCCTATAGGCCTTAGGCACCGCTTCACATATGCGATGATCCTCTTGGGAGCAGTTTTTGAGGCAGTTGCAAGCTCCGCTTCGAAGCTTCTGCGTTTGCTTGTTTTGGTTTTGTTGCAGCGATTTCGTTGTAGCTTGTACGGATTGTAGTCCTCATCAGAGCCAGATAACACCATTTTGTTCCATAGCCTACGTCGCCGTGGGGCCATTTTGCTGTACTGTTTGTCAAACCAATGTGGTTTGACTGGCCCAACTTTCCGAAATTTGAGGGGCACAAATCGGGCGCACAACGATTTCACTCACTCTTTAATGATAGCCCAACAGGTTTCAATAGATGAATCCTGCGGTAAAGACCAGTCTATCTGGCTTGCTGCTCGAATGAGGCCATTAAAGTCCGCCT